ACGAAGCCAGAGACGAGGCCGATTCTTCGTTGGCCGCGGTTTCCGCGCGCGATTCAACGAGGACGCCTCGACATCACAGCGAATTTTCGTACTTCCTCGGGAATTATGCTAATTACCGAGCTCGCTGTCGCGGCAACGGACCACCCCGAGTGCTTTCTTTCGACCGTTATAACGTTGTGTTTCGACCGAAGAGCACAGCGAGAACAGCTCGAGCCGAGTTAATCCGTCTGGACGGATAAAAACGATAAAAACGAACAGCCAGCTGGTTGGCGCGGTGTTGCTGCCCTGTCAGACACTGGCCATCGCGGGACTGATGACGAGCTGCTTCGGAACAGATCGATTTATTCGCTTTTCTATTAGTCGTTACCGACCAGACCTGTTCTGGACCAACGAGCGAAAATTTCATCGACCAGGCAACGCGAAACTATTCCGCTTCAAATTTTCATTCGAATCGCGCTGCTACGGAACTCTGATTTATCGAATAAATATTTACGAATCATAACCATAGTTTGTGGTTCGTGAATAAGCGAAATAAAGATGGTCCATAAACGGTGAAAAAGCTTTGGTCACTTGCAGACGTATTGTATGTACACGATGGAATAGTGTACATTTCAATTGCGAAAAGTGTAAATAAAAAACTGTAAATTTTGAAATGTAGATAGACACACAGCATCGCTGCGCGGAACAATGTCGAAAATATTTATCGCGTTAGAATTACTTTTGGATCAAACGATCCGAGAAGCGGTGCAGCTTTCACCCTCCATCATCGTCATTGTAGCTGGGCTACCTTTTATCCCGCGATACCGTTATATTTTCGGATCGAATCCGACCCCGATGCGAGAACGCGTTTTTAATAGTGGAATACGTGTATGGATACTGTGAAAGCGTAAAGCGAATCGAAACGGAAATCTGTTTCTCGCAAATGAAGAGAATACGAGAGTAAATGGGAAAAAAAGCATTGTCGATAAGATCAAATTTCATGCTTTATACGAGGAGTAATAAAACACGATTCGGACTTTTCCGATGACAAATCCGGTAAAACGAACGAGCAATAAAAATCGTGATCATCCACCGCGCGTCGATTATGCAAAAATGCGAAAACGATGCTCGAATGGAAACAAACGGACGAAAACTGCGAGCGTGATTAACGCAATGATTAACGGATGATCTGGGAGCCGGTGTAACGGGATCGTCGTCGATAAGCATGTAAAATGTTGCTGGGCATCCGAAATAAATCGTCGACGCGACAACGAAAACGATATAATGGACTATAGGTTCAGTTAATGTTCGAACAAATTCGTAGTCCGTCGTCAAATAAATCACTCGTCAACGAAATAACAGAAAATCGTAGCGCGTAAGAAACGAGTCCAATTCCAAGACCGTGAAAATGAGTCGTTTATCGGTGATCAAACATAGAGCCGGATGATAAGTAACGCTACGTTGTCGTCGTTTGATAAGTTCGATGAAGATAGCGGAGTAGCCGGTGATAACGAAGAACGACGTTTCTTATTAAAAAGTCGTCGTAGGAAAAAAATTGATTACAAGCGAGTCGCGGAGAGGTAGGTAGGGATCGATTTCTCTCGTTGGCGATGAATTAATCACCATCGAAAGGGCCTTTATCGTTCTCTGTTCTCCTTGGCGGAAAGCAACCCGATAAAAAGCCTCGATCTCTCAATAGAAATTTCAAAGTCCGCCAATAATTAACCGACGAGCTCCGCCTCCTCTTTCGCGTAGCTCTCGTTTTCAGCGTCGCGTCTCTATCGCAAATCACACGCCGTCGAACGTGTCCCGAATCTAGTCCTTAATGAATCATAATTTCCCGATCTGCTAGCTCTCTTCCCCTACTCTTTTTCTTCTCTTTTTTTCCTTTTATATTTTTCCTCTCGTACTCTCGTCGAGGAGCGGCTGAAAACGAGAGGTGCACGGAACGAGCGCACAAAAGTACCTACCACCCCAGCCACGGGGTTCGAGGCAGGAAAAAAAGTCGTGGGAAACCGGTGGAAAGTGGGTGGACCTGGTTCGCAAATGCGATATCTTGCTAACGAGCCAGTAATGTGCGGCGGGCCGCGCCAATAATTTCAATTTACCGGTGTCGAAGGTGGCGCGCAACCTCTACCCACCGCCTAGGGAGCGCCACTGAAAGGGCTGCATTACGCGTTGCTGGAAAATGCTTTCATTTTTTTTATTTCTCCTTTTCCTTTTTTTCCTCTCGAATCCCTTCGTTTCTGCAAAGTTGTTCAATTTCTTCCACCTGCTGTTTCCCCTGAATTTTACTTTCAACCAAAAGAGATTAGTAACAGGGAATCTAGTACTCTAAACGCTCGACAGATCGCGAACGATAAAAATCCGCACACGCGTGTACGCTTTTCTTCTCTCGGTTTTTCGCTTCTCCCGCTTTTCCTCCATCCCTTAATACTTAACGTCGGGTTAAAGGAATTTGTAACAGTGGATTTAGTACTCCTCCTCCTCCTCCGTAGTTCCACAGTTTCCGTGGCCGTTAATAGCGTCCTAAATATTTGCTCGAAAATCCCAAAAGGATACGGTCGGTGGATGCGCGTCGATACTCGGTTACCCTATCAGTGGTCGAGTTAATCTCGTGTGCAGTAACTATGACCAAATAAGATAGATCGGATGTTTCAATTAGCAGTTAGCGAGACTCGATGTATCCGGGATGCAAGATGCACGACGTTGTTGGGGCTCCGAAACGAGCGGATCGAAAATCCACCGCGATACGAACCGATGAATGGGGATAATCAGGTTACCAGGAACACTGAAATTAAAACGAGCATACCCGGTTCAAAAATAACAGCGGCGCGTTCACTCGGTTTACCTAGGTATTCGTCCTCTATAAAGTTATATTCGAACGCGATCGCTCCCATAAAATCATCGTCGAGCCGTGCAAACTTCTCTCTCTTCTTCTCTATAAATAAACCACTGCCACCGAAATCCACTTAACACGGCTAACTATAGATGCATTTAATAGAACGACGATATCTTTCCGTCGGAATAGCCCGTGTCGCGTTCTATGCCCCGATATATCATCCCCAGGATTTCCTTAGTCGTCCCGAGGGCACGGTTTCCACTTTTTACCCGAATTTCGAACGTTCCTCGTCGACACCGACCGCCTCATTAAGAAGTGACGTATCGACCTGGGAAATCGACATTATTCTCCATGGTTCTTGCTGTAATCAGTGCGTGGTGGTATCGCGGGACCGAATCTGCGCGTCGTTACCCTGCAAAATCCCATGCAACCCATGGGACCTTGTCGATCTTTGCTACTCGAGGGGTTGAGAGATTGAATTTGTTGTCGTTTGGGGTACGCTGTATCTTTGGCTTCCTCCTACAGAAAATACGTGTCGGAAGAACACCCTAATATTCTAACGTTTAGACCGTAAATGTTCTCGCTCACCGTGATAAAGTATCTAAACTTTTTCCTCGCATATTAAAGAAAGAGATTCGAGGCTCGGCGTATAGATCGTGTCAGAAATATCGAAAATATATATTTGGCCGAGTTCGAAACGGACTCGTAGCGCGCCCTCGAGTGGCGAATAAAAAGATTAGCAAGTTTCCCGGTTTGCTCGAGTAGCCTAGTCATGCCAATGTCCCCGGAGGTTGACCGTATCGGTCGCCATAAATAGAAAACGATGGATCGAGGGTGTTCACGGTGAACAAGGGATGCGAACCATCACCTACGCGTCTGTTCTGACGAGTTCGATCGTTTTTCTCGTCTCTCCTGGAAAGCTACGTACGTTCGAGAAAACGAAAACGGACGAGCCGAACATAGGACGCGAGGAAATAGACAGAGGGCTATATAAACGTGGCAGGGTAAAATACTAGCCGTGGTGTGCATATGGGGCTCGAGGTTTAACCTTGACCCTCGTGGAACCCGAAACTCACCACGCCCTGGAGATATACCACCCTCTTCCCTTTAGTTTTTCCTGAAGGTTGCTTTGATTTATCGTAGGCCTTCTCTCCAGTTTCTTAACGCATTCGTTTCTCGAAAGGGAACGCCATAAACATTCAAGATTTTACGGTACATTTTTCGTCCGTAATTCGTTGGCGATAAATAGGATGGCGAACTTGCATCGCTCGAAACGAAAGAGCGAACGACACCGAAACGGTGGATGTTGTAGGCAAGAAAAAGAATTACAAAGCGGTTGGAAGATGCGACATCGAAAGTTAAATAATTACGTTTCCAGTTACCCTCGGCTGAAACGCAGAATAGGTTAATTAAAGTGAGCAGCGCGTTACACGAGCGTACACATATACGCGATATTCACGATCCGCTGAAACATTATGCAAACGCGGTTAATAACGATCGTTTGTTTTTCCTGTTTTCCTCGGCTTTTCTGTTCGCGCCAATCTCCAACGATCGCTCACCCTTTCGCATCCTTTCTTTCTCTCTCGTCTTTCGAAACCTATACACGGAAGATTAAAAGCGTTTCATTTTCATTCGCCAGTGTTACAACGAGCGGCGAGTAGTCGAGCTTTTACATTATCCAGCCAGAAAATTCCAGCCTTATCTCCGTCCACGGTGATGTTCTCATTCTTTTCCTCTCTCCCTCTCTTTCTCTCTGTCCCGGTGCTTCTGCTGTTCTTCCATTCTTCCGGTCCCCTGGCGACGAGTATTCACCGCGCTCTTGCAAATTTTCAATCGCATCAGTCATCGCGGCCGGTTTTGAATCGTTTCGAGCATTATCTGCATCTCGAAAAAGGTTCAAAGCACCGCTGCCAGATTCTGTCTTTTCAATTCGAATCCGTGTATATCGCGTATCAACGCTGGTATTCTTTTTCGAACGCTTACGGAACGTTGTACAGTGTATACTCTTTGAATACTCGTTCGTTTTTGTCTCCGTGTTTCGCTGTTTCGCGTCTCTTTGCGTGCGGTGGTAGATACGGGAGTCAAAGGAAATCTCGTTCGAGATTCTACGCATAATCTTTCCGAACGCGTTCGATTCGCGAGTTATTTATCGATGCCGTTTGTCTCGTATGTTTCGCAGATCCAGAAAACAGCTGACCCGAGAGCGAAGGTTACCAGCCATGGAATATAATTAGTACGCCGCTTACGGAACGGCAGGCCAGCTATGGGTCCACTGAAAACAAGCTGCAACGAGACACAGGCACACTCGGCAGTAGTACTTGGAAATCGGCCTTTGTGCGAACACGTGCGAGCCCATGGACGACCGTGTTTCCTTCTCGAACGGGCCTCCTTCTTTCCTCCTGCACGACCACGAAAGGAACGCGTGGAAATGCCCGGCGGACGAGCGGAAAAACTTTCAAGGGGAGCCAGCTTTTTCCGCGAACGTTTGACGCGCGAAGGCCTTCCTGTTGCTTCCTTTATTGGACCATCGCATCGGGACGGTTTCATTTAATCGCTGCCAAGCCATGACGCAGGATTTTCAACGTACCGTGTAACGTACTCGAAGTACGTAACGATTGTGCGCGCGTATAATTAACCGTGCATTAAAAGCATTTGCATCAGAGGCGGATATATCGGTCGATTTCGTTGGATCGTTGTCCGTGAAGGCGAACGTCGACGCGTTAAAGTATCAATTTCCACTGGACATCGTTCGAAGGAAAGGATTCGGCGGAAAATTCGAGTGCTCTGTCGATGCAAATGGATTAAGATCGTCGAAAGATTTAAGAAACAACGAAAGATCGTCCAATTAACTTTTCGCTTTTAATTGAATCTTATATTCCCTTTCTCGCTCGGTTCGCCCAGTTTCGTCGGGGTTCTCTCCAGTTAATCGTAAAAGTCAAAAGTTTGCTCGAGTAGCTTCGACAAAGGTAATTGAAATCTCGAGTACGCGAGACGATTAATTGCGGCAGAGACGACGAGCGGAACATTTCGGCGCTCGGTCGGTTTCTTCGACAGCTTGCAAATTGCCGCGTCGAGTGGCACCGCGAATATCGTGTAAACGGGGACTGTTGGCGAATGCTCGTCGAGACACGGGGTATTCTTTCAAATTTTTCAGACAATTCGTTCCCCGCTGGATGAGAAGGTCTGCGGTGGAGAAGAAGGAAGAAGGAGAAACGGACGAAGGAGAAGAAGAAGTTGAAGAAGAAGAAGAAGAAGCAATTCCTTCGGACGTCGAGACGAAGGTACCCAGGTATTCTTTTTAAGGCGGAACACTTTACTGCTGCTCGTTCCACGCTGGTAATGGAGAATCCCCCAGCCGCCCTGAGGAATTAATTCGGGGCTAACGCCGAGACACTCCCCGATATCGAGTCACTTTGCTCCCACGAAGCGGTGTTAGTATCTCGCTCGCCACCCTCTCGGTTAACTTTTCACCGTACTCTTCTGGCCACTTGGACCCTGAACCGACTTCTTTTTGTCCCGTTCACTGGAACGATTTCTAATTTACCCTCTAATTTACCCGTAATCCCCGAATCCGTTTCACTAGGTCATTTACCAAAAAAAAGCAGCACAACTTACCGGTACTTCGTATTTCGCGTTGTTCGCGTTTTTGGCCACGATTTTCGCCATCAATTGTATCTTTAAGCGGTCACGCTCTCCATTGCCGGGAATCGTAATTTCCAAGATAAACAACAAACTCTTGGCGACGTTCCACGCGAATTAAGAGGCGCTCGGAATTGCGGAGCTTTTAATTAGCCTGAAAAAAAGAATGATGGGGAAGTGGCGGCCTAAATTTGCGGTTAAAACTCGCCGCGTTCGAGTATACCGAACGACGCGCGATTCGAAACTGTTTGTCGCGTAAGAAACGATATCGGAGTACGAAGTAGCGACCGAATGGAGCGAGACGTACGTTTTTTACGAAATTCTTGGCACCGTTCCTACCACCCCGTCCCTCCAAAGATCCTTCCGATCCGTTATCCGCTTCGAGAACGTTTGCATAGCAAAATATAATACAGGTAACGAACAATTTCATTGATCGTACGCTCGAAAAATGACTTTTATCTCGGTAGTTAAAACCGCGCGCTGTTTAACGATCCATGTTTCCCAAAGCGTGTTTTTCTCCCTCTAGAGACGACGCGGGAGCGTGCGGAGCAGCGAAATCGAAAAGCGGCAGCGGCATCGGCATCGTGGCCCAGGGTGTCGTCTCCTAGAGCATCTTTAGGCACAGCAGACGCACGAAGCGCGCGCAAAAGAGACGAACGAGAGAGGACGAGGGCGTCCAGTGGTCGCTACGAGCGAGAGAGAAAGAGGGGAAGAAACGGCGCGGCGTGGAGCGACCACCGGGAAAGAGAGGGAAATTCAAAGATGGCGCCACGCGTGTAATCGCGAGAGAGAGGGGTGCGAACGTGCGACGAAGACGAGGATTCTTCCCCTCTCGCTTCGAGCGCGAGCGGCCGAACCGAAACGTCCGAATCCGATCGTCGAATGGCTCAGTAGTGCGCGAGACACATTTCGCGTAGCGTGTTTCGCCGAAAAGTCGGTGTTTGCCGATGATTCACGAACGTTGCGACGAAACCGTCAGAGGATACGCGGCGGACCAATCCCTGGTTCCGTTACATCAGCATCCGACTCCGTGGGTTCTCGACGATTGGTTCTCGTCGCGATGCGTTCGTTCATGTTTCGTCCGTCGTCGTCGTCGTCTCGAGTGCTGCTGGCTGGCTCGTGTATCCTTCTGACTTTCCTTCGACCGGTACGACGCGCGATCTAGTGTGCGTAATCGTGTGCTTCCTAGGCGAAAGGTTTTCGAGAGAATGTACCGGGACGCGACGTGCCCCGCGAAGCGACCGATCAACATCCCGCGAGAGAAAGAAAGACGGGGAGAAGGAGAGAAGACACGTAGGGTATTTTGGACGCAGATCGATCAGTCGCAGCCGCTCTCCGGTTCGCGCCATGTGACCGGTCAAAGACCAGTCTGTCCGGGATTGGAGGTTAGAAAGAAAGATTTGTAGAGGGACAGTGTCAGTAGCGCGCGAGCAGCGATCGTAGAGTGGTCTGGTCGGGTGTCGCGAGGAGTGCGTTCTTCGACGTGTAGCGCGTATGGCGGGTTTGAAGCTCGGTCAAGAGGGGAAAGAGAGACTCGAGTGCCGCGAATGTCGTTCTCTGGGGTCAGATGTAAAAATAAAAGGAAGCAGACGTGTCTCAAGGCTATCGGACCGCATATTGTCTCGGGCAGTAGCGTAAAATCACGCGGTCGTCTCCCTGCTTATCGTTTCTTCCCGTGTTGTCTAATGTCTGTGCGCGCGCGCCCTTCTGTTTCTCCTCCGTAAACGCGATGCGCTCTACCGACAATAACGTAACGCTGATTTAAGGAAAAAGATGAGAAATTACGCGGACGTTGCTTCGTACGATTCCTCGATAACGTCGACGCGACCGTACGCCACGCTGGTTCGTTATCGTGAACGCTTAAAACCGTCGTGTCTATTTTTACGGCGTGTCGATACAACGAACCGCTTAATTGCTTCGTTGATAAATCTTGCCGGACGCGGTGGACCTGTAATCGGTCAACTTTTTCCTTAGTTTTTTGGTACGCTTTCCTAATTCCGCTTCACGGAGTTGCTTTTGTTTCACCGTTTGAAAGAAAAGAACGCTGCGACTGTTGCGAATTAAACAAAAGAAATCGTACAGGCGTAAAATTCCATAGAATAAATCCGAGTTTCTATATTTTCCTTCGACGCGTAATTAGAATTTTATCGAACGATCGTAAAAGGTTAACACTTACGTGCTCTACGTTTTTTAAGCGCAGCATAGTATTTACCGTTTTTACAAGAAAATTACAGTCTCGTTTTCCGTAAACTTTGTAGCACGTGCGTGTCGCAGTTAACCACGTGTTTACATTGCGGCTGATCGTTCCGAGCCTTGTTCGATCTTGAGTCTATTCCTCGTTGATGAATCTGTAAACGGTTCAATCTGTATCATTTTGTATCTACCGTGTGTTTGCAACGAGTCGAAAACGATTTATTTAACGTCGTTCTCTGATGGAAGTGGAAAGTCCCCGTCCGTAAGAAGAATATAAGCCGAAAATTAATCCAAAGATTATAAGGCTGCGCGTATTAATTATAAAACAGTCCTGGAACGTTGGGAGATCGAGAAGCCTTCAGCAATTGTACATCGTATTCGTCTACGATAGATAACGTGTACTTATCTAGGAAACCGAGATTCGCCTACAAAAACTTGAGCTATTTCAGATTAATTCGAGTCGTTTTGAAACAGTTGCGTGGAGATTGATACGACATTGTTGAAACGTTTCTACGAGGCAAGATGTACAAAGCGTGTCCAGCGTACTACGTAATCGGAAATACTTTCATGTTCGCAGTTTAAAACCGTTCAAATCAGCGAGAAAATTGAAGCCCGACGAAGTGAATAAAGTGGATCACGTTCGACTACTGATTTCTGAATTCACTGCCGTTGCAAAGCAACAACGTCATTGAAATCGATATCAATTAAGCCACGCTGATCGTACACGTTGGAAACCCCATAAAGGGTAACCCCGTTAACGCCTTGACTGTCGCGAGGGTCACCGGTGACAGGTGCCACAAATTTAATATTGCAAATTTAATTGAACGATAAAAAATGGAGAAAGAATTTGGAACATTGCACCGTATTCTGGCAGCCAGCGCGTTATCGCCCCGACAGAGCAACATTAAACGAGCTTAATCCTTAGGAACGAATTCGAAGTCTGCGAATACCTTTGGTAATACTTTAGTAACGTAAGCACGAAATTCGTGAGGGTCCGTTTCACGATTGTCATCTGGAAGGATTCCAATACTTTTTAAGAATTAAACGCCGCGTTCGCGCATCTCTTGTAAGCATCCAAGACGAAAAGCTAACGAGTCTGGACCAAGGTTAGAAGATAGCGCGTGTTGTATAATAGCCACACGAGCTTGATTCAGGGCCGTGTAAAGTCGGGAACACGCGAGGGGCGACACGGTCTATTTTTATCCATAGCTTGGATACGGAAAATGTAAAAGCGTGAAGATTCCAAGGATAGCAGAATGTCGTTGGACTGACAATTAAACAGACCTGAATGCTGTTTTTAAGCAAGGTCCTGAATTATTGTTCCGTTTGAAACAATTAGGACCAACCAATTGTAGTAAATACCATTAATCAACGAAATTGTATCTAAGCTCGTGATCCACCAATTGTTTCGAACAATGATGCGTACCTATTCTTGCGTCTTGTATGCAGCCTCTATTACGTTGCAAGAATTATTGTTAACAACATCGTAGGGCATTGATCGGTTTTCTAAAGGGTACCGTATTCCCGAGTTTACCGACGCGTCTCGTTAACAAAGCGATTCGTTTCGTATCTCGTATTGTCATTCCACGTTGAGTTTCATTTGTAAATGGCACGGGAAACGCAAACGAGATCACCGGCTATTTTCCATAAACTACATTGCCAGTCGGTTGGAAATGAAAAGAAGTCTTTAACCTACGCGATGCGTGGATTTATCGAAATGGCTTATCGATATAGGAAAGCCGTTGGTATTTACAGAGTAACAGATAATTCGGGTTACGTTTCGCTTGATCCGTTGTATTCTAACCGTTGAGTCACTATCATGAGTCAAAGGGACAGAAATCTTGTTTGTCGAAGAGCAAAGGTTCTTCTGAATCGCGCTTCACTCGATATCTCTTCTACCGGTTGTGTCCCGAAGCGCTGCTGTTGTTGCAGACTCACTGACAAAATATAAGAGATTACCAGTGCTAACTCGGCACATTCTGTGTAATCGGGGTAAACATAAATTTCTTCGGCGATTAGATAAAGTAACGCGATAAAATGCATTCCATTCAATATTGAAAGGAACGGTCAATTACTCTTCCTCTATCAATACCGTCATTCATGGTAACGGAAAGGAAAGAGAAGATGCAACTGGAGGGTAGATAGAAATGTTTTCTCTTTTTACTCGTTTTAGGATCGATGGAAAACATGTACCAAAGAATGGGTCAAGTTTTTGGTAGTCTCGTAGAGGAGATTTCGTGCCCAAAGCCCCTTATCATTCTCCTGTCCGGTGTAGAATTTTTAGACGACTGGACGGAGAACTGATAAGGGCCGGAGGGTCACAGAATCATCGTGGGATTTGGCATACCGCTAGACGCAAATTCAAGATCATGGAACTTTGTCGATAGAATATATTATAATCGTATTTTATAGCTCTTTGTAATAATTTAATAACTTCAATAAAATTTAGAAATGTACTGTTGCTTCTGTAAATAAAAAGGAAAGAATAAATGGAGACACTATTACAAAATACGTTCTTTTATTTTAATAAATAAATAGTTAAAGATTTTCTTCACGGATACGCGCGTGCAGCAACGATTAATTTTTGTCTTTTTCACAGTTGAGCAAATTTTTTAAACGTAAATATATTTACGTCGTATTGATTTTTGATACGTTTTGTTCCAACTCGTAATTAGGATTTATTTGAATGATTTGCCTAGAGTTATCGATCTTTCTAGGCGTATTTTGAACTATTAAAATCTGCTTCGTTTCTTCCTTTTCCAATAGCTGTCCTACTCCCATAATCTTGAGCGCGGGTACTGTCTTAATTAATGCTCCATTGGGAACCGACAGGTTTGTATTGCAATCTATTTTGGGAAAAATTACGGGATTCTTCGAGGGTGCCATAGACATTTTCTTCTTTGGCATGATAGGCATTTCGGAAGAAAGAGGCGCTGCTCGTTTCATCGCAGTGCCTACTGTAACCGGGTTAGATACCGTATCCGAGTTCAACGGTATTATTTTAGGACCGAGTATTATACTGTTTCCTGTAAGATACATCGTTTAAAGTATAAGAGATAAATAACATTTTTTATCGGTCGCATTACCTTTTTGCATCGCCTTGGTAACGGGACAATCTTTGTGAGCCAACAAGAGCGTTTTCAATTTGGCCACTTCTGAACGTAAAACCTTTATTTCCATTTGCAACGCCGTATTAGTCTCATTCACGTTCGCGACCGTCCTCTCGAGGTGATGTATCCACGCTTTCCGTTTTGCTCTTGCTCGCATAGAACTTGCACGATTACGTTCAAGAATCTCTTTCTTCTTCGCTTGGTCTTCTACCGTTTTGCTTCGATTCTCTTTCTTCGAACCGTTTAACTCGTTCTTTTCAAAATTGTTACTCGACTTCAAATTTTGCAACTCCGTATTTTTGGTCAGAGTTTGTTTCAATTTCTAGAAGAATAAATGGAACATGAATTTATATCGAATCGAACGAAGTTATATTTCAACTAAAAATATTTGCGTCCATACAATAAAATACCATTTTTGCTAAAGTTAGCGTAGAAACCGTGGATTTCTTAGACTCTACTTTTGTAGCGCATTGTAAAGGAGGTTCCGTCTTTATAACGACCATTTGCTGTTTCAACGATTGAACGTTATTCGTGTGAAGCGAGTCGTAAACCGGACTAGCCGATAATTGCATTAATTTTCCATCGGATGTTTTCAATAGTAGCTGCACTTCTTCGCCATTTATTGACCTGCACGAAAATAAATTTCACGTTTATCGATTCGCTTACGATACACTCGAAAAGCGTTATAACTTACTTACAAGTGTGGACTTTGTTCTTGTAAAAGTTTTGGCAATACCGGTGCGTGTGCAACTTGGTCAATTATACTTTCTGTTAATGTTACGCTTCTGTCGACCGTTAGTTTACTTTTCATTAAATTCCGATCCTCCGTTTCTGTAAGTTTTACGTTAGTACAAACCTCAGAATCGATTGACGATTTTACGGTCGTACTTTTATCGGTAACCGAAATACTGTTACATTCTTGTACGGTACTTTCGGATAGCATTTGATTGCTTGTAGATAATACATCGGCTATGTGAGGAAATATATGAGGTGTGTGCAATGTATCATCTGTAATTCCAGCCTAGAAGGATATTTATAAGGTACAATGATTTTTAAGAAACAGTTTAGTTATTAAAGTAATTAATGCTGTACCTCTGGCACTGTAAGAGTACCAGTATTTCCTGATTCTACAGCTCTTCTAAATGTTTCTTCAAAGGGGTTTACATTCTGCAAATCTTGAAACAGCCCAACCTCTTCACAATTCCTGATGAAACGGGTTGGTGTTGGTGTTTGGTCAGCTAAATATTTTAGAAGAAGGTTTTTAGCTTACTCTTCATTCAGTCTAAGTAGAATTATTAAATATTTTATGACATAAATCTTACCGACAAAACCTCCATTCTTTGAACTATTTCCCAGATTTAACATCATGTCATGTTTCTTTTTGTGTACCGTTAACTGATCTTCATTTGTGAAACTCTATTACAATTAGTAAAAATCAGTTAAATTTCACGTGTAAGTAGTCACTTAAGTTACATTTGTTTAAAAAAACAAATTTCTGAAACAACTGACATAAAAGACTAACTGACAAGAAATGTGTACGTACCATGTTGCAGCCAGATGAAGAACAGGCAAACATTTTTTCATTGTTTGCCATTGTTAATTACCGTTACTGCAAATGTTATAATGCTAGTTCACAGGTGGTTCAATGTAAAATGAAAACAAAGCTGAAAGTCTTTGCTGAATAGCTCGATAAGTCGAAATCCGATATTCTGTAAGAGTTCCCCTTGTCGATGATGCATTTTACACTTAAGAATTATTTGTTAAACACTTCTAAACTGTCTAACGATAAATAAGAACAGTAAATATGACCCACGAAAGGTTTCGTCTATGGACTTTTGTCACTTCGCTTGGAGTCAGCTCAAATCAGCTGTTCGTATGGTTAAATCACTAAGAAAGTACAGTATAGACAAATTACTGTACAGAAAATTGTGCCACGATCTGAAATATCGACGTTGTTCAGAATGCGGCGAAAGTCGATAAGACAGAGAACCTGTTCATATAGTAGTTAAGATGAAGTCGTTAGAATTAAACAGAGATTCATCACAATGGACTGGTGTTCTTAGACTAAAAAAATTAATAAAGAACTACGACTGAATAAATGATGTTTCCACATGTTATTGATAAATTGTCAACAAAGTGGAAGAACTTGAATAGACAATTAAAACCTTGCGTATTACCCACGTATTTCTGTAATTACGCGACTGAAATTGGGTCTACTTTATTGATATTTTAAAAAGCGCGCCAAAACTAAATCTGGTATATGTGGCGCCGCCTAGCGTGAAGTTCCAAAATGAGCTTTTTGGTTTTGCCACCAGGGGGCGCAAAATTTATTCCTAATTATAGTTTGCATGTTTGCCACCAGAGGGCACAGCAGTCTAAAAATGCCGCCTTTTCTCGTAAATCAGAGCTGGTGCAAAAGCATTTTCTGACGTTAATATGATATTACGTTGATATTAACGTATATAATATTATTATTAATATTAACGTTAGGTAATATTATCGTTCCGTTTCTGTCTGCGGTAACATTTTTCTAGGGCGATTGCGCCACCTGGTGTTGAACATGTGAACTATAGTTAGGACAGAATTTTGCGCACCCTGGTGGCAAAACCAAAAAGCTCATTTTGGAACTTCACGCTAGGCGGCGCCACATATACCAGATTTAGTTTTGGCGCGCTTTTTAAAATATCAATAAAGTAGACCCAATTTCAGTCGCGCATTTGTACAAATAAATAAGTTTTTCGCTTTGTTGACAATTTATCGATAATGAGTGCAACAGTATATATGAAAATTGTGGTCATATAATTCGAAAAATTATAATATAGAGACTCGGAACTCTAATTTGATATAGTACTGTGTGGTACCACTATCGCTGTTTGCCAAAGGCCGTTCGTAAATCACTATTTTTTGTTCGTAAATAAAATGTGCAAATGCATTTAATAAAGTAACGTTACTGAATATAAATTATATACTAAGTGTTTAAGTAAAATTTTGGATCGTTGTTATCTCATGACTGCAGTACGCGTGAACTTTCGCGTTGTTAGGTTACAAACATAACCTCCGTACTAGCTATAAATATTACGAATAAAATTAAGTACGTAACTGTTGTCAAAGAAAGCGTTTATTAAGTAGTTCTAAGAGATGCAAGCGTACGGAAATATTATGAAGCGACTGTTGTCGCGTAAGTATAAATACTAATATTTTATTTTCCTGCGTCTTTTGGATGATAATTGTTTCAATTAGCCTGTGATATTTTGCAGCATATTCTTCCTTTAGATTAATTCCAACAGCTGGAGTGAAGTCCATGACAGTACCACCTCCTTTAAAAGGTATGAAAATTTAAAATCTAAGTCTAATCTAAATCTAACCTAAATCTAATCTAAATCTAACAATGAACCTAACCATGATTTCGTAGATATCGAATTTCCTGAACGTGTAAAGCTTAGGATTGTTAACAAAGTACCACAATATCCACCTGGAACACGACCTTTTAAAATGCAGAAGAAATTGAGACTGATGCGTGGTCCTGAATTGAAACACAATACATTATTGCATAAACAATATGGAGTAATGGTAAGGCAACAAATGTGAGAGATAACTGTATTTTCATAGTTGGAGTATATATGGATTTAATTTTTAGGCAACAGGAGGAGGTAGACTGAAATATAGTAATTTTGAAATGATACGTTTTATGTTAATCAGAAATATAGATTATAATGTAGCATTTGCAATCTGGAGAGTTCCAGATCCTTGGCAGCCAATAACCAAGAAGGTTTTTATAAACATTTATCTATTAAAAATTTCACGCGCGATACCAGCTAATGTTTAAAACACTGTTATAAAAAATCTGTACAATATAGAGTCCCGGATCGCGTATGGGAGCGGGTAAAGGGGCTATCGATCATTATGTCACCCCGGTAAAGGCAGGACAGATTATATTCGAGGTCGGAGGAAATATTGAATTTTTCGAGGTATTTAATAAAATTCGTAATTAAAATTTTGTTCGTTCGTGCAATGACTTAAACAATGTACAATACTCAAAAGGTGAAATACGTTTTACACAATATCGCGTCGAGGCTGCCATTCACCGCCATGGTAGTTTCTCAAGAAAAACTGGAAAGGATGGCAGAAGAAAAGAAACGAATAGAGGAAGAAAATCTGAATCCTTATACGTGGAAGTACATCATTCAAAATGATTTGCTAAGTTCGCAAAAATGGATTTCAAAATACGACAGGCGATGGTACAACGAATATCTTTAATGATAACCCGTACGAACTTGTAAGAATTTATGAATAAACAATGAAAATGCTAAAAAAATGATCTGTAGTTTATTGCATGTACCTTAAAAGTATTTGTGCACCGAGGAAACGTAACGAATAAGTTGCGATCAAAGAAAATTCCTTGAAGCTTCCGAAATTGAATCGTTTACGATGACAACGACGCACATAACGATTTTTGTGGGACGGTGAACAAAATTCGAACAACACCGATATGTTACAATTACAATATTTTATATATCTTTGATGACGGTTTGGTGGTAACAACAGGTAAATACTACATATTGTACATTGAGTAGGCGATAGTCGTATCTTATTGTTTAATTAGCGTATCGGTTACGCCGATGCCGATGTGCCGATGGCTACGTCCGCCACGACGACAACACCAACGACGGGTTAAGCACGGTGAAAACAGCGATAACAACAGCAGCAACAACAACAACAATCTCAATAACAATAACAATAACAGCAACGATGATCGCGCGATCGATAGAAGAAGAATATCGGTAATCGTAATACAATAATAGAGGATAAGTACGAAGAATGATCGCCATCACAGGATTACGAGCCGGCTACATGAACGATAATGTCTATTAGCGATACAGATTAATTCGGCTAGAAAAGCATCGTCGATTATTGCTATTGTCGTCGTGGACGCTTCGTCATCGCCGTCCTCGTCGTTTTTGCTCGCAAGCGTCGTCGTCGTCGTCGATTATTGCCGTCGACGTCTTCGTCGATCGTTTTATCCGCATTTATCACACTTAAACGTAGATACAGCGACATCGTGTCTGAGGAATGTGTGTGAATGCAGAGTCTCAGCATTGCGACGATATTCTATTACGATATACGTTTATATATATATATATATTTAAGAATCCTCCCTGATCGGTGGGAACTTATCAAAAATAAAAAAAGGGGAAAAGAGAGACCGGCAGTTTCGATTTCGAAGCATCTTTCAGACACTTCAGTCCATGGGGACCAACGGATATGTTATCGCTTTAAACAAAACTCTCTTCGACTTTGTATATAAAATTCGGCGTTGCATCGTGCTCTCTGGACTGGTTCCTCCGTTCGATCGTATCGTATCGTATCGTAGCAGTAGCGATCGAACGCGAACAGGAAAACTAGTAATAGTTTTAATAGCGCTAGTAATTGATAATAGTAGCTTGTAGCGTCGTGGCCAGAGAGGAATGATCGAGCGAACGGATACAAGTACGATAAGCACTTTTCGAAGCGCAACACACCGCGTCGGGGTTCCTTTTCGGAACCGTGTGAGTTTCGAACAAGAAACAAGGAAATTCGCGTGTCTGTACGTGTGTGTGTATGCGCGCGCGCTCGCGCGTGTGTCTGTGTGTGTCTGTGTATATACAATTGCGGCCGTCGGCCAGAGCTGGAGGAAATAGTATTCTAAGTAAAAAATAGTAACTGTTAGATCGTTTGTACGTTGATATTGTAACAGAGGCGACTCGGTGCGGTCTCGCGAATTCTCTTATTTTTTTCGTAAACATCGGTATCAGTTGCAAACAAGCGAACATTCAACGCAAGCTCTCTCTTTCTCTCTCTCTCCACTATTTTCTAAATAGTAAATACTATTTTTGTCCGGCTCTGCACTGGACTCCTCGTCCCAGAATTCGTCGAAGGACGAGGTTCCTTCGGCGGTACGATTAGATTAGGAGTAATTAGCGCGTATCTCACTCACTGTACTCGATATGATTGATTCGTTCACGGTTCCGTCGTCTCGCTGACAATGAGATGCCTCCGCGAACAAATGGAAAGTACAGGTGACACACGGAATCGCGAAACGACGGTACTTCCTCCCCGTTAGATCGTTTTCGGGGATACGTGCACTAGTCGGGCGAAAGGCAACGTAGATCGCGCTTCGCGTTTTTTAGTATTAATAATGATGCGTTGATTAAGCTATAAGACTAGATTCTCGGCGGGGTATCTTGCATTTTTCTCCATCACTTTTTAACCCTTCGACATCGACCGCGAAACGTCTCTCGAACGTACGAAATTGGCGAAACGAAGCGACGCGTTGTTTCGGGTGTCCGTATACAATTTACCGAATCGAAAGAAAATAACTCTGACAGCGTCGACGTTAAGTCGCGAAGGGTTAACGTGCATGGGTGGCATCGACGATCTCTGGGCGTTGATCAGGATGTCCGTTCTCTTTTTCACCGTGTTCGTCGCCGTTATATCACTATATACCACGCTTGGATGTGCTAACACACAACTAACAGATACATACATACTTAGACACGTAGTCCTTAGACGCCTATATAAGATAGGGTGAGCTGTTCAGGGATTCTTGATTTCGTACAGATCGGATCGTTTTGTTCATGGCACACCTGCTGGCTAATCTTTTCGGAGTACGTCGCTCGCTTATTTCGAATCAGCTTTTAACGCACAGGTAACTCGTCGTTATGGAAATAAAATAATAGGGACAGGTATAAAAAAGTAAAATTTCGTAGCCTACGTATGTACAAGAACTAGAAAAGAAATTTACACTTTTGAGTGTCGTCTTATTATAAAACATCGATGACTCGAACGTATTACGGAAAAGTACAAGAATGTTCTATTCGTCGCATCAGTCTTCAGCATAAAATATCATACCTGTTCGAATCGGAGTTGACCTGCGTCGCTAAATCGATAAATCTCGTGCTTCGGTAATCGTTTACGTACTAATCGCGGGGAATAACGAAGCTCGCGATTGGATTCGCAACAGGAAATTAAAACTGGTGCGGAAGAACGCTGGCTGTAAGGTGTGCGTGTATTTTGCATGTCTGTTACTTTCATTCAGCCTTTCACACTCGCATTCACTCGTTCTCTCTGATGAGTCAGTGGTTTATGCGATGTAACACTAACGATGGCACACATGCGATTGCGCTTTACGTTCACGCGAAGAAAACACGTGTCATACGATGGCGACGCGCGACTCGGATCGAGAACGCGTACGCGAATAATTGCGAAATTCGTTCGAGGAATGAATGGTAATAAAAAGCGATAGCGGAACAGCGCTCAGGACCGCTGCGGAGCACTCTAGATTAGCGTTTCTCAATTAATGATTCGAGAGTCGGTTAATAATTTCCCGTTAATAGTCTTTATTTGTGTTATTATCGTTTTCGCTTTGTTTTTCGATTATCAGCGACGTGACGCGTCGATCGATCATGCCGATAACTAGTACTTTAGATAACAATTAGATCTAGAGATTTTTTAATTCTGTCGAGGTTACGTTAGCGATCCGAAACGCAAAAAATAAAAGCGATAAATCGAAGAATTAGTCTTCGATCTCTTTGTGTAGGTCACGAATCGATCTTCAACGACATGTATGCATGTCGTACAACGAAGAAAATTAAATGTATGGAATGACTTTGAATTCGTATAAAATTACTTGGAACGTGGTCGGAAAGCTTAGAGGAGAATGCTGCGAGATAGAAACGCGGTAGCGGTCCCGGTTCGCGTTTCCGCTCAGCTGTACGGGCTGTCATAAAAGTGCAACCGTTTAAATCCATTACAGTCCATCGTTAACATGCGCTAGGTCGCTTATATATTTATATATATATAATTACGTAATGTATATATGTACACAGTCTTACAAAGCAAAATTTACAAACATTACGACGTACGGACGATCGAATAAATATTACGTTTCCTCCGACGCAGATCGCTTAAAGTGAATGGCCATCCGACATCGTTGAGTCGCGACATCGATTTCGTTTTGGTTTTAACTAGGCTAGGAAGACTAGGCTAACGATTGTTCGATAAAAAAAGAAATAATAATTACGTAAGAACCGCTAAAAGAAAATCGCGAAGCTTCTTCTGCTATCAGATAGATGGTGAATGAACAACGGAAAGCATTGAAAAACGAATAAAGCTAAGAGCCGTGGCTTTATCGAAGTCGAGATCGATTTCGAAACAAAAGAGTCGGTTTCGTACGACCACTTTTTTTTTCTTTTAGTGAATGGCCCTGTCGCCGTGGCGGGAACGAAAGGTACGCGTTCGATCGCCGCGAGGAAAGGGATTGAGCGAGAGATCGATAGTGCACGGAGGCGGAAGCGAGGATCGGCGGTCGATCGATCGCCGGGAAAAGAGAAGAAAGCTGGTCGAATCGGAGTGGCGCGATCTACCTACCCCGCCGGCAACCGACGATCGCATCTTTTAAAGCCTCTGCGTGTGTGTATACGCTGTGGTGTCGTGTGTGGTGCGCACACGCTCGTCGTTGTACACGCGTGTACATACATGAATTTATTTACGTACCATGTACGCGCGCATCTCTCTCTTTCAGCGCGTGTTTACGTGTCGATGCGTTTGCGCGATACTCTTGATGTGCTGCTAGGAAGCTGACTAGATTATAGCCTAGAATACGAAATATCCGGAAAGCGGCCGGCCTTCGATCGTTCTCCATCGCGAACGTGCTACCAGCGAGAAAGGAAGCGGAGAACGAGGACCAGGCTGCTGCCGCGTCCTCTTCGCCTTTTCAACGAGGATTCCGGGGTTTCGCATCGACGTTGACTACTCGGCCTTCTCGAAGGCCGAACGCCATTACC